GTGGCATTTAGTAATTCTGTGCAACCATCACCTCTGCCTAGCTCCAGAAGGTTCTCGTCACCCCAAAAAGAAATCCTGGGCTGTTAGCAGTCACTCCCCTTTCCCTGCCCTCTAGTTTCTAGACAGCCAGTAATCTACTCTCTTGTCTTTGCTCTTTGCCTGTCGTGGACACCGCGTCTCACTGGACTCACGTGTCACATGACCATCTTCCCCACTTGTGTGAACATGAGAAGAAGGAGCAGAGCCCCATGGGTAGTGTGGATGGGCAGGAGTGGGCTTATGCTACCAGCCGTGAATGACAGGCTCAGGTTGTGGAGCTGAGAGGTCAGGTGGTCAGCATGTCCAGTACTTCAGCCATTCCCATCCAGACTGACTGCAAAACGAGACCTGTGAACCCAGTAGTTCCCGTTAAACCTTCTTTTCTTACACTTACTGTACTCCATAGGCAAGCTTGATCATAAACGGAAAGACATGTCACTTGCCTCACTAAGAACCAGTTGCACTGAGTTGACACCAGCTCCCGGCACCTCCATGTGGGTCAGAGTAGAACTATGCTCCAGAGGGCTTCCAATGGCTGACTTTGGGGAAGGTTGCCAGCCCTTTCTTGTGACGCACCTCTGGGTGGACTCGAATCACCAAGCTTTTGGTCAACATCTGAGCACGTTCACCATTTGTACCAGTCAGAGACTGTGCATGTCACAGCACACATAAACAAACAGGTCTGATAGAACTTGAGCTTTGGAGGTGCAGACTCAGTGACACCTAAGAAGATTCCGGAAGTGCCTCTCCTCTCTCTCTCTCTCTCTCTCTCTCTCAGGAAAAGGAAATGGGCATGCATGAGGAGGTCTTGGATAGCACCAAACCCAGCCTTCTCCTTGAAAGAGCCAGCATCAAAAGGATCAAAAGAGGGGCTTTCGGTCAGTGATCGTTAGCCAGCATCACATCCCAGGCCGCCACAAGTCACCCTGCCAGCTAGCTGCTGTGTGCTCCACACTGGGCGGCACAGAGGAGGGGAAACAGACTTACTGGAGATGCCTCGTCTATTTCTGGGTTAGCATTATTAGCAATAAGACAGTGGCCCATCAAATCCAAGACACTTTCGTGTGGAGTCTTCCAACAATGGAAAAGTGGAATTTTTCATAAACTTTTTGATGCCCTCTTGTTGTGCTTGGGTTAAGATGCCAGGGATGTTGAGTCGGCTTCGACTCAGGGTGGCCCCACATACAACGGAACCAAACGCTGCCCCATCCCATGCCACCCATGGCCACTGCTCTGTCCTAGTCCAGGGCTGTGGCCACCATGTACTCTGAGAGACTTCCGACCCGGGGCTCAGCTCCCAGCGCTCCATCGGACAGTGTTCTGTGGAAACCCAGGAAGAGATCACCTAGCTGTTCTTAGTCTGAGTCTGAAGGTTCTGCTGAGACCTGTCCACCGTAGGTGACCTGCTAGTATCTGAAATCCCGGAGGCAGAGCTTTCAGCCACATGAGAGTCACCATAGTACCACACGGACAGATGGAGGATGGGGTGGGAAGAGACATCATGATTTTATCTGTCACTGTTCATAGTGACCCTCTAGAGAGTTAGGAGTGGCAGGTGGGTTTGAACCACCGCCCTGGCTGTCAGCAGTATGGAATTTCCATTCTTTGCAATATTATCCACAGTGCCATCAGAGCTTCTTAAGGAAGAAGGAAAGCATCAACTCTGTGGTAGTTAAGGCTTTGTGTCCACTTGGTGGGACCAGGATTCTCCGTGGTTTGGCAGCTGAGATGTAGTTACCCCACATGATGAACTCTCATAGAGTGTGATCACCGCTATGATGAAGTTTGCTGTGAGAGCCAGTCAACTGAGAGGATGCTTCCTTGGGCATGTCCTGCTTCCAACATATTAGACACTCAGGCAAACCTTGCTTGCCCTCTGTTGGGTCTGGGTTTTACATCTGGTTCATCCTCCGACCTCCACTTGTTGAGCCAGTGGCCTGCTCACCTGGGAGTCCTCTGCAGCCTGCCTCCTTACCTGCTGGACCTGTCTGCCTGCCAGCAATTCTTCATCTAACCCTTGGATTTGAGACTAGCCACCTCTACAACTGTGTGAGCCATTTCCTTGGTAAAAAATCTCCTTACATGTACATGTATTAGCATCACTTATTTGGCTTCTTTAGAGAACCCAGCTAACGAGCCCCTTCAGCCACTTTAGAGATGCAGGGCGCAGGGCTGGGGACAACGTGCTGCTGAGGTCTGATAACTGTTGGGATGGCACATTCCAGGTGCTCTGCAGAGGGCTTGGCTCATAGTTGCCTGTGGTCAGTTGCTGTTGACCAGGCTCCGACTCATGCTGACCCTGTGGACAGCAGGAGGAAACACTGCCCAGTTCTGCGTCATCCTCACAATTGTATTTGAACCAATTGCTGCTGCCACTGTGCCAGTCCATCTCATCGGGGGGTCTTCCTCTTTTTCACTCACCCTCCACTTGACCCAAGATGATGTCCTTTTCCAGGGACTGGTCCCTCCTGATAACATGTCTGAAGTGTGAGTCAGAGTCTCGCTACCCTGGCATCTAAGGAGCATCTGGGCTGTACTTTCTCCAAGACAGATTTATGTATTTTGCTGGCAGTCCGTGGGACTTTTAATGTTCCTCTCCAACACCATTACTCAGAGGCATAATTTCTTATGCCGGCATCCATATTCAGTGTTCAGCTTTCACTTGCACGTGAGGTGATTGAAAATATTATGGCTGGAGTCGGGTGCACCTAACTCCTTAAAATGACATCTTTGCTCTTTAAAAAAGTCTTTGGCAGCAGATTTGCCCAATGCAATATGTCATTTAATTCTTGGCAGCTGCTTCAGTGAGCTTTGATTATGGATCCAAGTGAAATGAAATCCTTGGCAACTTTAGACTTTTCTCTATGGATCATGATATTGCTTATTGGCCCCGTTGGGAGGATTTTTGTTTTGTGTATGTTGAGGCATAATCCATATTGAAGACTGTAGTTTTTTATCTTAAAAATGTTTCAAGCCCTCTTTACTTTTCAACAAGCAAAATTCTATCATCTGCACGTCGCTAGTTGTTAACGAGTCTTCGTTCAGTCCTGATGCTAAATTCTTCATACAGTCCAGCTTCTCTGATTATTTGTTCAGAATACAGACTGAGTCTGGTGTAAGAATACATCCTAACAGCAACACTTTTCCTAATTTTAAACCACGTAGTATCTAGCTCCTTGTTCCGTTTGAACAACTGCCTCTTGGTTCCGCATGAATTACGAGTTTTGGAATTTCCATTCTTTGCAATGTTATCCATAATTTGTCATGATTTGCACAGTTGAATGCGTTTGCATCATCAGCAAAACACAGGTAAACCTCTTTCTGGTGTTCACTGCTGTCGACCTAGATCTGCCGGCCGTCAGCAGTGGTAGTCCTCATTCCATGTTCTCTTCTGAATCTGGCTTCAATTTCGGGCTTTTTCCTGTTGGTGTGCTGCTGAGACCGTTTTTGAATTATCCACAGCAGAATGTTACTGTCATGTAATATTAATGAAACTGTTAAAATTTTTCATGTTCTTTCCCATTGGGCCACCTCTCTTTAGATCCACAAATGTGGATCTGTTTCATCCGGTTGACCAGGCAACTGTTTTCCACATTTCTTGGCATAGAAGAGTGCGTACCTCCAGTGCTATGTCTGTTTGTTGAAACATCTCGGTTGGTATTTGGCCAATTCCTGGAGGCTGTTTTTCTCCAGGGCCTTCAGTGAAGCTTGGGCTTCATTAGTTCCTGATCAGATGCTCCCTCCTGCAATGGTTGAGCGTTGGCCAATCTTTTGGGTGTAGTGACTCTGTGTACACCTGTATTCGTTACTTCATCTGACCTGCCTGCGGTCCTCGCTGGGCAGATGCTATCAGTATTCTCCTTGTTTTTTTTAAAAAAAAGGAGACGGTCAGATGAAATTGGGCTCTTAGTCAAGGGTGATTCTGCCCCCTCAGGGGATCCTTGGCATTGTCTGGAGACATTTGTGGGTGTAACAGCTGGACGGGGGTGGTACTGACATCAAGTGGGCAGAGGCCAGGGATACTGCCCAACACTCCTCAGTGCCCAGAACAGCTCCCGACAAAGATTCATTGTAAATGTCACCAGTGGCAAGGCTAGAAACCCCGAGGTTAGAGGCATATTCCCCAGTGCCCTCCCATGGAGTTTACCTGGCTCTGATCGTAGGTTCATTTTGCCCTTGGCAAAAGTAATCAATGGAGAAGGACACTCAGAGACCAACTTTAATTTGTGGGGAGTCAGATACTGTCCCCTCTTTCATACTGTTGTCTGTCCCATTGTGTGGTGTCTCCTAGTGACTCAGGAAAAGGTACTCAGCAGCAAAACCTTGGGGTGAGTGCCTGTTGCCTACAGACTTAAACCAGGAAGCCCTGGGTGGCCCCAACAGTGAATGTGTCCAACTGCTAACCAACAGTTTGGCGGTTTGTGTCCCACCAGAGGCACCTCAGGAGGAGGCTTTGCAACACCCGGAAAACCCTGTGGAGCCCAGCTCTGCTCTGCCACACACGGGCGTGCCACGAGTCAGAATCAACATGATGACCACTAGTGGCCTTTCTGGGGTCAGAGTGATGCTAGCCACCTGGCAGCACATCATAGAAGCAGAGGGGACCAACCTTGCTCAGCCAGGGGTCTTTCTGGGGGGGCATTTTTCTGTCCTGTCCTTCGTTGATGTTTGGGTCAGTTCCCACTATGCTGCAGCCTCATGCACAACGGGACAAACGCTGCCCAGTCCTGCGCCATCCATGAGCCATGGGCTGTTTGTCCAAAGTCATTTGCCAGCCCTCTCTTCCTAGTCTGTCTTGATCTGAACTCTCTGATGAAGCCCGAACAGTCCTAGCCACACAAGCCTCCATTGATGGGTGCTGACTGCGTGTGAGGCACATAGGCCGGACGTGGACCCCGGGACCCCCGCATGGAGGGCTGGAGTTCTCCCTCTGAGCCACCCTGCCTCCCTTCTCCCCGTAGGGATGCCCTATGGCAGCCGTGAAAACTCTCTGCTCTACTCCGAGATCCCCAAGAAGATCCGGAAGGAATCCCTGTTGCTGCTCTCGTGGAAGCAGATGCTTGATCACTTTCAGGTGAGTGTGCAGGCCGGGCGCAGAGCGCTTCCAGGTGAGCTGTGGGATCCAGGCCGGGGCCGCACCTGCCCGGCGCAGAGCTGCAGAATCCTGCCCTGCCCCCTAGCCTACTCTGCTACAGGGAACTGATTACTGATAAACCTTCTTCTCTGGAACACAGCCTCCTCCTCAGTCTTTTTCTAGAGACAGTTGTTGTTGTTAAGTACCATTGAGTCCATAGGATTTATAAAGTGTATCGTGTCTGAAAGGAGTTCTGGTACTGTAGTGATTACAAGTCGGAGTTTCTAAGGAGCATCTAATGGGTTTGAGGCACCCACCTTGCACTTAGTCTACAGCGCCATACCAGGACTCCTTTATGGAAACCGGCTAGTGGTTACTGTCCTTTTGAGAAGATGTGGATGTTGATGGGTTCCACAGAATCCATTGCGACTCCTAGCGACCCCTGTGACGTAGTAGAACTGCCCCTTAGGGTTCCCTCAGCTGCCGTCTTTCACAGGAGCGGGAGCGGGAGCGGGCAGTGGTTTGTTCTGTTGTGTGTAGGGTCACAGTGAGTCACCACTGACCTGACAGCACCTAACAACACCGTCTTTAGGGAGCACATCACCAGATCTTCCAGTTGGTAGGCAATTGCTTAAGCATTACACCACCAGGGCTCCATCGGGAAAAGATTGCTGTCATGTTTACAAGCCTTCAAGTAGGCTCCGACTCACAATGACCCTACACACAGCAGAAGGAAACACTCCCAGTCCTCGTTACACCTGAGCCCAATGCTGCTGCCACGGTGCCAGCCCATCTCGTTGGAGGCTCTCCCCTGTTTTCCCTGACCCACTACTTCACCAAGCATGATGTCCTTCTTCGGGAACTGGTCCTTCCTGACAATGTGCCTGGAGTAGGAGAGACCAAGTCTGGCCATCATGGCTTTTAAGGAGCTTTCTCACTGCACTTCTTCCAACACAGACTTGTTTGTTTTTTTAGAAGTCCATAGCACTTTAATATTCTTTTTCAACACCGTAATGCAAATACTTCAATTCTTCTAAGGTCTTCCTTATTCATTGTCCAACTTTCACATGCATATTGTTGTTGTTGTTAGGTGCCATCGAGTTGGAACCGACTCATAGCGACCCCATGAACAACAGAATGAAACAGTGTCCGCTCCTGGGCCAACCTCACTACCGCTGCCACACTTGAGTCCATCAATGATGCCACCTGGCTAATCTATCTGGTTGGGGGTCTTCCTCTTTTTCTCCGACCCTCCATCTTACCAAGCATGATAT